ATAAAATGGTACCCTTAACTCATGAGCAGAGATCTAATGATTATTTTATTTATTTATTTATTTATTTATTTATTTATTCATTTTTGAGAGGTTTTTGCTATAGGGCGCATGCGCTTGCCAGAAAGACAGAGACAGAAAGCGAGAAATCACCCCCCGGGGGAATGGCCACGCCTCAGTCCCTTCTCCATTCTCCTCTTAGAGTTGAACATATACACACATGTGCCTGGTGTGAGCGAACCACGGTCGACTACGTGGGAGTCCAGTGACATAGTCATTAGGCCAACTGCTGGTCCCGAGATGTAATGCTCTTTTAAACCAGTTCTTCTGAGAAGAAACTTGTCCCTCAGAACGCCACTCTAACCTAGGACCAGAATGCTGGGGAGGGCCAGCCTTGGTAACCTACAGGCCGCCCGTGACTTCCCAGTCCCACAGCGCCTGCCGCCCCGTTCCGCACCCCCTCCTCGCCATCCCCGGCCACCCCTGCACTGGCGGTCTTCCTCCCCGGGGATTCCTCGTGTGACTCGTGAACACAGACCATGACCCGTGACACCACTGTCACGATTCTCCCAAGGACGCCACTCCCTGAGTGCCATTCCTGAGAGGGAGAAACGGCTTCTCGAACCTTGGTGTCAGGGCTTGACACTCACGGAGCCCCGGGTGATCGAAGCAGCCAGAACAATGAAGCCCTTAAAGTAGGCATCTCCTAAGACAGGAGGCCAAACTGCTGAATGAAGATACAGTGACGTATCTGCAAAGCAGCGTGGAGACGACACCATTCGTTCGTTGGGACTGTTGATTTCCAAGAGCTTCTGACACCCTCAGAGAGAAGAGGGAGAGCGGGACCCCTCTGGGTGGAGCCGGACGAGCAGACCCGGCCGGACCCGGTACCTGTGTGAAGTAGAGCCTCAGCTTCTTCCCTCCGAAGTCGGTGTCGTGGAGCTCGATCCGCGCGCGCGCCGCTGCTTCGGGGTTGCTGAAGTTTATCCTGACTCTTCTGAAGCTCTTAAATGACTGAAACGTAACGCGGTCATCATAGGCAGCAAAGAGTGCTTCAAATCGCTCCTACAAATCGAGGTGCGGCAGGGCAGAGAGAATGGAGGAGAAAACAAACCTTTAAGAAGAGGGAATTTAAAAGATCAGACGTAAGAAACGCGGTCAACTTGTTATGAGTCACCTTTTTTCCAAAAAAGCACACGTTTCTTGCAAGTATACAAGAACAGATATCCAGTAATTTATATGCCAAACGCTGCAATTTGTACTTATAATTAATTTTATTAAATATTACATATATTTTAAGGTTATAAATGTCAGATACAAAAATAAAATGACACAAATATGCCCAACCATAGAACAAGAACTTTTCTTTATTACTGCAATTGTTCTGAAGACAAGCACATCGGCTGTTTTTGGTTTTTTATTAGTTTTCTTGCTATAGAGTGCATGAGCTCACTGGAGAGAAAGTGAGAGAGAGAGTGACGAATCAGCTCCCAGGGAGGATGGTCCTGCCACAATCCCTTCTCTTCCATTTTCTTCTCCGGATCTGGGGCGCGTATGCACAAACTGGTGTGATTTCCAAGCTGTCGGGCCCAGGACTTGAACCACAGTGCTGTTTTTTCTCCATCATATTCCTTTGCTCCTTCACATAACTGTACCTAGACCTTGTACTGCTCATTCCCTTGCTGTTCTTTACAGCTTCACAAAGTTGCTTTACCCGAGGGGGACCAGCAGTTAGCGTTATGGCTATGTCACTGGACTCCCATGTAGTCAACCGCGGTTCGAGTCCCAGACCCGGAGGCTTAAACTCACACCAGGCGCGTGTGCGTGCGTGCCCAAGATCTCAAGAGGAGAATGAAGGAGAAGGGATTGCAGTGTGGCCATCCCCCCCTGGGGGGTGATTTCCTGCTTTCTGTCTCTCTGTCTGTCTCTGCCTGTCTGGAGAGTGCATGTGGCCTATAGCAAAAACCTCTCCAAAAAAAGAAAAAAAAAAAAGTTGCTTTACCCTAGGGAGAGTGTGGCCGTGCTGCGTGCTCCTCTGCAACTCGCCTTCTTGCTGAGATCTGGACTCCGAGCTCCTTTCCTGTTCCTGCATGTAACTACAGGAGGCATATCACAGGAGTTTATCTGCTCTAACGCTGGACTTTGGACTGTCTCTCTCTCTCTTTTTTTCTTCTTGCAACAGCAGTTCTACTATTAAAATGCCTGTACAACTCCTTGGTACCCACACGTACAAGTTTCTCTGGTGTGTGCACCTGCGGGTGGACCTCCTTAGGCCTCACTGCTTCAGCACATAATGCCCATCAGTCTTCTGAAGCGTGTGTCCCATTCTGCTAAGAGTCCTGGACCCAGCATCTTGAAAAACACACCAGACATACGAGCATGCGTGTCCTAAATCCCGAGAGGAGAACAGAGAAGGGATGGTGGTGTGGCCACCCCTCCTCCCAGGGTGATTTCTCACTTTCTCTCTCTCTCTTTTTCTGGCAAGCTCATGTGCCCTCTAGCTAAAACTAAAAAAAAAAAATTAAAAAAAAGAAAAGAAAAAGAAAGAAATGGAGTCAAAGATGTTGAGATTCTAATCTTCTGTCAATTATATGTGTTACACATTTTTTCCCCAATTCTTTCCACTGTCTTGGTATTCTTCTTCATTTTTTTTTTTGAAACAGAAATTCTAAATTTGAACATTACTGAATTTATTCTCTTCTTCAGGTGCTTTTTGTGCTTAGTAAATCCTTCTTTTGGGGTCAGCAGGTGGTATGGTGGTTGAAGTGCTGGACATGGCTGACTGCAATTTGAGTCCTGGACCTGGGAGCTTGCTTTCTCACTTTCTCTCTTCCGTAAGCACACATGCCTTATAGCCAATTTAAACATTAATAAATAAAATTAAGTAATTCTTAAAAATAAAAAACAAATCGTTCTTCACTGAGGTCATAATGTTCTTCTAAACCATCGCCTCGAAGTTTTGAGTTTCACCTTTCACGTGTAAGTCTTCCCTCAACACAAATGGATGTCTACATACGAGGCACTTCTCCACCCTGGGGCCACTGTCATCTATTTTTCTGTCGCTATAAATTAGACTGTTTTAGAATTTTATGTAAAAGGAATCATGCCCTTGGGAACCAGCAGTTAGCGTAATGGCTATGTCGCTGGACTCCCACGTAGTCGACCGCGGTTCGCGTCCCGGACCCGGTGGCTTAAAACTCACGCCGGGCGCGTGTGCGTGCGTGCCCAAGATCCCGAGAGGAGAATGGAGGAGAAGGGATTGCGGCGTGACCATCCCCCCTGGGGGGTGATTTCTCGCTTTCTGTCTCTATGTCTCTCTCTGTCTGTCTGGCGAGCGCACGCGCCCTATAGCGAAAATCTCTCAAAAAAAAAAAAAAAAAAAAAAAGGAATCATGCCCTAGGTACTCTCTTTTTTTATTTTTTTGGGGGGAGTGTTAACTTCTTTCCCTGAGCATAATTATTTTAAAATTAATCCATGTTACTGTGTTATTTTTGCTCCTTTGTACTGTCAAGCAGAATTCCACTGTACGGGTGACTATCCACTTACCACATGGTGGACATTTGTGTTACTTCTAGATTTTTAAAAAACGTTTCATCATGAGAGCATGTGTGAGTGCACGTGAGAAGGGGAAGGAAGAAAATGGGAGGAAGACAGAAAAATGGGCACCCTCCAGTGTCTGCCCACACCGCGATCCCCTTCCTCGGTTCCTCCAGCCCACTGGATTTGGGCTGCACGTGCACGTGTCTGGCTTGTTTCAGGCTGACCGGGCTGGGGATTCGAATCGCAGCTGCCACGTGGGACCTGGTTTCTCTTGAGCAGTGCACTGCTGCTGCACTGGGGAGACGGCCCCAGTTCTTGTTTTGAACCGCTACAGACAAAGAGGAGCATTCAGTACAAGGGTCCGTTCTTTCGGATAAATATTTACAAGCAGAAGGAACGAGCTGCATGACGGGCTCATGATTCCCTTTTCGGCAGCTACGTTTCCTAAAGCGGCTGAACCATCTTCGCCAATGGCGTGTGACTTCCAGTCTCTGCACATTCCCGCCAGCACTGGGCAGGTCAGTCTTTTATTTTTTGGAGAGGTTTTTGCTATAGGGCACGTGCGCTCGCCAGAGAGACATCGAGACAGAAAGTGAGAAATCACCCCCCAGGGAGGATGGCCACGCCGCAATCCCTTCTCCTCCATTCTCCTCTCGGGATCTTGGGCACGCACGCACATGCGCCCGGCGTGAGTTTAAGCCACCGGGTCCAGGACTCTAACTGTAGTCGGCTAATTGGGAGTCCAGCGACACAGCCATTACGCTAACTGCTGGTCCTGCAGGCCAGTCTTTGAATGTTAACATTCTACTGGGAGTGAATTAGCTCACTGCAGTTTAAACAGCGTTTCCCCGGTAACGACCGACGCTGAACACCTTTCCACAGGGTCCACTTGCCACCTCTGATTCCTCAGGTTAAGTGCCTGTCAAACCTCTCCCCGCTCGCTGGACTGTCTTATCGAGGTGTAAGTGTTCGTTCACGTGTCTTCATATGCGTGCTTTATCAAGTAGAAGGGGACTTCAGAGATTGATGGAAAAATGAAATTGAAGAACAAGTTTATGGGGGCCGGCAGGTAGTGTGGTGGTTATGGGCGCTGGATTCCCATGTGGCCAACTGCGGTTTAAGTCCCAGACCTGGCAGCTTGCTTTCACTCTCTCTCTCACTCTGTCCCTCTCAGGTCAAATTAAAATAAAGAAATGAATTTTTTTTAAAGAATAAATTTAATTGGGTACAAAAAATTCTGAAATCCATGATGTTTTCCATAATACATATTGTCCATTTACTTATTTTTTAAAGAGAGATTTTTGCTATAGGAGAGACGAAGAGAGACAGACAGAAAGTGAGAAATCACATCCTCCTCCCCCGGATGGCCACACTGCAATCCCTGTGGGGAGTTTGGGCACACATGCGCATGTGCCCGGCATGAGTCCAGGACTAGAACCGCGGTTGACTACGTGGGAGTCCAGCAACATAATCATTATGCTATCTGCTGGTTGCTCCACGTACTTATTGAAGACCCCTTACATATGTCTGTAAATATTTTCTCTAGGGACCGGCAGTTGGCATTATGGCTATGTCACTAGACTCCCATGTAGTCGACTGCGGTTTGAGTCCCAGATCCAGTGGCTTAAACTCACGCTGAGCACACATGTGTGTGTGCCCAAGATCCCGAGAGGAGAATGGAGGAGACGGGATTGCGGTGTGGCCATCCCCCTGGGGGGTTATTTCTCACTTTCTGTTTCTCTGGCAAGTGCATGCATCCTATAGCAAAAACCTCTCAAAAAAAAAAAAGGAAAAAAAAAAGAAAATTCTCTGTTACCTCCTTTGTCTATTCCAAAACAATATCTTTTATTTATTTATTTATTTATTTTCCATAGGGCATGTGTACTTGCTGGAGAGAGACAGACAGGGAACGAGGGACGCCTGGTGTGAGTTTAAGCCACCAGGTCCAGGACCTGAACCGCGGTCAACTACATGGGAGTCCAGTGACATAGCCATTACGCTAACTGCTGGTCTCCTAAATTACTTTTTAAAACTTAATTTTAGGTTTTTGTCATAGGGCATGTGTGTCACCAGAGAGACAGAAGGAAAGTAAGAAATCACCCCACAGAGGGGACGGATCCCTTCTCTTTCATTCTCCTCTTGGGATTGTGGGCATGCATGACGCATATGTGCCTGACATGATTTTCTTTTTCTTTCTTTTTTTTTTAAATAATTACTTATTTAATTTATTATTATTTTTATAATTTGGCCAGAGAGATTTTTCAAGCCTCTTTATCGGGACTTGAACCATGGTTGGCTAAGTGGCAGTCCAGCAGCCGTCCCCAACCCTGGGTGCTTTTCAACTGCCAGGTCTGGAACTCGAGTCGCAGTTATCCATCTGGGAATCCAGCGCCTTGATCACCACGCCACCCACTGGTGCCAACGTACTGACGTACTGGGTGGGGGTGGGGGGACGACCATTGTATCTGTGTCGCCGTTTCTGTGCTCACCTTCTTTCCACTTTGCCTTCTTCCCCTTTCCTCTC